CGAAGGAATTAAATTATATATATATATATTATTTATTTATTTATTTATTTCCTTATATAGGTTGAGTGGTTACCTTCCACTTAGGCGCAAGATCTATAGGGTTATTATCATTGGTTTATTAAGTATCTTTAAACAAAAACGATATTTATTTTTATCCGAATTCATTGCTTAAATAGATGGCCACAGAATCAAATAAGGGAACACCAATTTTTATGGCTCACGGTATTCTTGACGCGGTATTCAAATGTTTATTTGTTTTATTATTATCTAATGGTTTAACCATTACAGAAATAATTGATACATTTCATCCATACAGGTTGTGCCATATAATTTTGGAAAATTATCATCTGAATCATTGAATTCTAATGGATATCGGATCAACTTCAAAACCTACAATACGTTGCCTCATTCTTTAAATGCAGAAGAGCTTCAGGATTTGGCACAATTCCTTAAGGATGTAATTCCCGATGTTTAATGTAATAATTCGTTTTTCTTATATATATGTAATGAAAGGTAAGCGGTCAGGTAAGGTTCAAAAAATTAATGGCAGAAGTAAATCTATATGTAATATTAATCACCTAACTAGTGAATTAGAATAAGTTGTAGTATTATTAAATTATTGCACTTGACAACACTAAGAAGTCAAATATCTATATATAAAATATACTATTTTCTACGTTAAATGGAGTCTAACATTCTTATAAATTTTTATACACGTCGTTTCATTGCGGGTTTGTCATTTTCAAGTCTGTACTTTCTTAAAGCTTTTGTGTGATCCGGCATTTTAGTTCCCCATGCAGGTAGTCGTATCACCATCGCAGTTATATTGTCTTCAGATCCTAATTCTTCAGCAAGTTCAACAAGTTTCTCCGCTCCAGTGGTTACATTGTCATAATTCTTGATCTAATAAAAAAACAAATATATAGTTAAGCCCCAAGCAGCATATTATACTAGGTTAATTGTTATTGTCACATCGCACGTGTGTTTTTGTTATACATGAGTACCAATAATTAAATTGTAACACATGCGGGCGAGCAGACGTTTTCAAAATTGTTTTTTATACAATAATTGTATAATATAATACGGCAGTCATTGATCATAAATTACACCGTTTATGTTTCTTAAAATAACAAGTATGAATGACGTAATAAAATTGAAGTAATATAACATAAACGGTGTAATATTCATTGTCAAATAGTGGCCGTGCTATGATATAATTAGCTAACGAAATTGCATAACCTTTAACGCATCAAAAACGTACATTGGTATCACTCTAGTGTCCACTACAAGACCTAAACATTTTGGATTTATTTATGAATTTCAAATCTTATAAATAAAATCCAAATTTTATGGGCACTTGATTTATATATAATTGACGGTAAAATTAGGGATTAAAAATCGCCCAAAATTGTTCTAATCGTTTAACCGTATTAACCATTTAATCTGGCAAGCATTAAGATAGTTTTTGCAAAACATCATTCAGACGGAACAATTTTCTAACTTATGAAGTTCTGCATTTCTGTAATGCCGCATTAAAATGCGTTAATGTTGTAAATAATGCAGCAGTACTTCAATTTAATAATTTTGCCGTCAACTATAACTACACTTCGGACAGTAAATGAGTGCTGCAAAACGAAAAACCGTAATTCTGAATAGCGGATTTAACACTTCACGGTGTATGGCTTATTTGATTCATGAAAGTGCGTCCAAATGATAATAAGTAATATTTACACCCGCATGAAATTCTGATGTGATGTCAATTACATGTTATCGTAGATAAGCCGGTATCCTATAAAGCGAATTTTCCGAAAATGAATTCCAGTTTTTCGCCTTGCGGCACTCAGATATGAGTGGTGCCAAGGAAAAAACAGACTTCTGGTTTTCAAGTTTTCTATTTGAGTGTTGCTAAGGAAAAATCAGTATCTTATCATCTCGAAATAACGCCCGGGGCGTTATTTTCGATATACACAATTGAAAGAGAACTAATTTAATCGAACGCGAATAATTGTTATTGAAATTTTTCGATTAAATTCTCAGCTCTCTTTAATTTTCACTATGCCGACTTAAAAATTTGATAATCAGTGTTATCAAATTTTCTGAGGCTAAATTCGACATAGTAAAAACCTAAATTCGTGCTTACTGGTTTTCCCTTGGCAACATACATTTATTGTAGCGGATTAAATTTTGTATAGTGTAAAATAGACAAGCCACCGAAAAATACAAAAATTTAAGCGCATTTTTTTAACGTTAAGGTCAACTTTAAGGTTAGAATTTATATTAAACAAGTATAAGTGGGTTTTAGTGGGTTAACGTTAAATAGAAACTCCAAATTTCATTTGAATCCGATTTCACTATAATCTGCGACATTTATTGTCGCAGCTGATGGAGTCTCGATTTGAAAATATAAACCCTGCTAAAATTCACATATACCCTTTAATTATCAATTCTAACCCTAAATCCTAACCTAACCCTAAAAAAAAAGCGGACAAAAACACCCCAAAAAAAATTTTAATTTTCATATCAAAATAGGTCCAAATTTCAGCATCAGCTGCGACATTTATTATTTACAAGACTCAACACTGACAAACGACATATACAGTACATAATTAACCTACGTACGTATCATATGAGAACTGGTTTAGAAAAATGTTATTCTGGGGACTTGAGAATTCTTCAACTGATTAATAACATACTCTTAATTCCCTAAAATTTTCACTACTACTCTTACAAATTATATTTAATTTCGAAATACAGTACTGGTATATTATTTGTAAAAGTAGTGAAAATATTGTTAATCAAAAAAACTTTTAAAGAATTAGGGGAGACTTCCCAAATTTCAAGAATGACATTTTCCCAAACCAGTTCTCATATATGTCTCTGTTCAGAGAATCAGGTCTGAGTCTAGTAAATGATAAACAATAAATTTGAAAGCCCGAAGTCTGATTTTCCTTAGGTGTCACTCATATGTCGTTAGATATTTGCGCCAGAATAAAATAATTATAATTCAACCAATCCTATCCCTACCTTAATTTAAATTTTGACCTGGCACATATTATCCTAACGACATATAAATCTTACATATAACAGATATATTTAGTCACTGACAATGAAAACTCACACAGTCGACTATTTCCTGGTTACTTAAGACTGATGTCACTCCGTCCGTAACTAATATCATAAATGCGACATCATCTCCTT